AAAAAAATATCTTGTATGTAGTAGTAAGGTGGGTAAGCTGGGCGAGTTGGCACCGGTTGAACATCATCAAAACATAGCTCACAAAAAGCAGAGGACAAAGACAGGAACGGAACACAGAATAAGGGTGGCGATGTGGGTTAGTTGGTTCATACTGACGAAAAGGCAAACAGCGCGCAGAAAACGGGGACAAGAGGAAGTGCAGACAGGACAAGCGCTGCGGCAGCGCTTGTCCTGTCTGCACTTCCTCTTGTCCCCGTTTTCTGCGCGCTGTTTGCCTTTTCGTCGGAACACAGAAGACAGACAAGCGCTAACTCACAACTCCAATGTAACTTACGTGAAAAGAAGAAAGGTGCAGGAAGTGTGCGGCATGCACGAGGAAAAGAATACTGGCGCACCGCAGGGACATCGAACGTTTTAATCAAACGCACGGCTCTGATCAAACGCATTCACCAGTCTTAAAAGGATGAAGTAAGACACGAAAGCCCGGGAAGAAAAATCACCAGCACGAGGGGTGCAGTAACAACTTCAACCATATTCGCAACTCTTTAAAAAAGAAATGTCCTCGTCAGTTAAGCTAATAAAAGGCTGGCTGACGCAGCGGTCTGCCGAACCGGAGATAATGAGCGCTTCAAATATTTCTCTACAATGAAAATGGGAGGAATTGTCTCCTTTTCTCCGTCACTGCACCGTTTCTTTTTCTATTTATGGACTAAAAAAGTTTATTAGGGTAAAGGGAATATTCACTGGCATCCGGTAGCTATGTGTGCCACTGCTGAGCGCGTGCTCACGGCGAGCTTCCATAGTTCTTTTGCAACGTGCATTCGACACCTTCAAGATTACCGGTCTTAGCAGCCTATGCGGAGCGCAGGTTCGCCTGCAAAACGGGAAAAAGTTGTTTAAAAAAAAAAATATTTTTTTTTTTCCAAGCCCTTCATATTGCTAACTCTATTCCCCCCTCTCCCCCCGTCCTCCCCCCGCTCCCCCCCCCCCCCCCGCCCCCCCCCCCCCCCCCCCCCCCCCCCCCCCACCCCCCCCCACCCCTCAATCTCCCAAACACTTCCGACGCCTTTGGTTTTTACGATGTATCTTTCAACAAATATTTCACATTCCCTAAAACATCTGTACGGCTCAACAATATTTCGAAGAATCGGTAGTAAGTAGGGCTGGGAAACTGATCACTTAACCTGCCAATTAATCGATTACTTCTTTATTCGCGATTAATTATTTTAACCGATTAATCAGTAAACATTTGCGAACCAAAAGAAAGTAAAAATAAACGGTTGCACCTCGCAGACGTGGACACCTGCAGCAAGGGCAAACTTTAGGTAAAGCCTGAACCCAAAGTGAACCGTAGGGGCGAGATTCGCAACCGCAGACAAGCGCAGAAGGTGCGAGTGCCCGTTTGGATCAGCAGAGGTCGCTCTTGCCGGAGAGTGTCAACGAACCTGCCTCATGCAGCTGAAGTAATAAGCTGTGAGTGTGATTGTGCCTTTAAACTCTTCTCCACTAACCTTCGAGGCTTATTCATAATCAAGATTTTATGTTGCGCCGTTAATAACACACTCAGCAAAAAAAAGAAAAAAGAAAAAAAAATTAAAAATGTAGCCCTTTTACTCTGGTGAAGAAGGAAGAGCAGCGTAGCTCTAGTGTGTGCCGCCATCTATGAGCGACGGCGGCAGACAGACAACCGGCAAGCCGGTTATCTGGTTGCCGCCCTCGCTCATAGATGGCGGTAGCTGTCCAGAGGGTTGTGTCGATATTTACGTGTCCACGGTTACGAAACTGGGGAAACTAGCCCTTAACAGCTCCGTTTTAGAAAAAGTACTACGCATGTAAATAAACGAGTCCGATTAATCGGTTAAAAGGTGGCGATTTTTCGGTTTAAGCAGTTTAATCGACGCCCAGCACTAAGTAAAAGTATTGAGCATTGCGAACCTGACTGAACTGTCCAGGATTTATTTTAACTATATTCACACAAATGGGGACACTGCAATCGTGGTATTGCTCACTTTCGCGTTACATTCATGCCCAGAAACCTAAAGGCCTAAGCAAGGAAAGAGAACTACCTATCCCATAGGTGCGCTTTCTTCCGTGGTCCTCTAACTGTTTGCCTGTTCGTGCGAGTTCTTTCCGTAATGTTACGTATAGTAGAGTTGTATATGCGGAATCAGTACCAATAAATAGTGATTCTGTTTTGGTGATGCGAATGATGATTTATCGCGTCAATTCACACACAAACTCAAATGAAATCTCGTCCTCCTTCTTGATATCCCGTTTCTTCCTGGCCCAAGGCTGGAAAGAAGCTCAGAACCTACCCGAAGGCTCGCACGGGGCAGTCGACGCCTGGCAAGAGTAACCTGGCAGCCTGCATCACGTCGTCTTGGTCCACGATGGGCGAGCGCCGGTGTTCCGCATGCGCGTGTGCCACGCGGACCCATTCTACCAGAGGGGGCAGCACCTGGTAGGGCCTGTGGCGAGAAAACACTTGGAATGAATGAGTGCGCAAGGTTTCCTCCTAGACACTGGGCACTGCACTGGAGTTCCCAATGACGCAGCAAATGCAATACGTTCGACAAAACTCAACGTGCAACCATGCCTCGAACCTTAGAATAAAATTTCCAAAGGTGGTCCAGCCCTAGAAATGGGGTAGACTACACGAACTTTGACGACAACAGCAGCTGTGCTTTGTCAACTTAGAAATTGACTGAACAAACATAATTCCAAATCTAGACCAACGTGACACTCGCGGTCGATCTGGTCTATGGCACAGGCAGGAACGGATCAAGGAGAGGATTTTTGTCTTAGGTTGGCTCGCACACCGAAAGCAAGACGACCTCCTGCTTTTTAATCCCTCTCGCCCCCGCGGGTCAAATGGCTATTCTTTCGAGATCATCTCTTTTCCTTGGACGTTACAAATACGCGTGTTAGACAGCACGCCGTCTAAGGGCTCTTCCAGCCACTTGATGGATCTTCACGGCCTGTTTATCGACAATTTGTTCGCAGAACATTGAAGCGTGAAAACGACTCTTTTTTTTTCCACGGCATCGCAGAGAAAATGCGTGCTAGGACTCCAGCCGACCTCTCGTAGATGAGTTCCGGCCCCATGGCCCTGCGGGACGATCCGTGCTCCGAGTGCTCCAGCTGTGAACAGCGCATGTAGTGGAAGAGCGCGTGGAGCGCCCCTGAGCACCAGGTGAGCGGCGCCCTGGGCGCGCCTGTCTTGCGCCTGTACAGCTGCACCATGCCGCTCAGGAGCTCCCCTGCAGAAACGGGGCACAAGTCAGAATGAGGATGTACGTGGAAGACCACGCTCATCATAAGGCCCAAGAGCCGAGTCCATGTCAGGATACGTGGCCACCCGCCACTTTTGAAGCGCTTCGCGGCAAGGGACACGTCAAGCGCCCAGCCACCCCGTCTCGCTAATCGGTCCTCCTCGTCAGCCGCTTCTCCGAGCAATCAGGTGCGGTAAAGCCTACCTTGTCACGTGGCCTCTACTCTTGAACCGCGCCCAATCTCACGGTTATCCACTAATTTTGGCTGGGCGCTTACTCGCTACTTTAGGGTAATTACACACTAAGAGAAATGTTTCCTTCGAAGGACATGTCACATCCTGTCCACTTGTGAACAGAGTAAAGGAGAGAGCTTCGCTGCCCTTTGACTGCAAGCGCCCTTTTCGGGACCGTACGCACCCGTCGTCGCCCATGCCGTCTGCTCGCTTTCCGACGGACGCTTTCAAAACTCGCTGGCATTATACCCAGATGGAAGACACAACGAAGAAGATTCGAGCTGGTCAGGATTTACACTTCGACACTTCGCGAACGCTAAGCGAAAAATCTGCTCCACCCAAAGTTCGGTACTCCGCAAGCTCGCTTTTCCGCAGTACGTTTGGACAGTTTTGGCGCTTGGGGCCACTTCTCAGCCAACTAAAATGTTCCCTTGGAAGAAAAAAAGAGTTGGACACTCTACGCGACCGGGCCACCCAACGGCACTTAGAAAACCGTAAAGCAACGCAAAAACAATTTTCATGCATGACTTATTTTTTTTGTCAGCAAAAGCTATTCATTTATTTTTTTCAGCAAAAGCTATTCATCCTAAGGCGCACCCAGCACTTGGCCCCCACTCCAACAAAATTGCTAGCATATAAAACAGTTATTCTCTCAAAACTAGAATATGCAAGTATCATATGGCATCCCACATCAAAATTATCTTTCTTCTAAATTAGAATCTGTCTAAAGTAAAGCAGCCCGGTTCCTGTCAAACGACTTTTAGCCTCGAACTAGTGTCCCAGCTTTAAAAGCAAACTTTGGTCTCACTTCATCGTTGGCGCGGAGCAAAATTAACCGAATATGTCTCTTTCATGACTTATACTACAGTAACTAGTGCTTTAAAAACACATATTGTCCTTCCGCACATTATATTTCTTCTCGAACCGGCAATTCCTGCAAAGTACAGTAATACCAGTCACACACAAATTCCTTTCTGTTTCCACCCTTAATATTATTGATTACAGAATGGAATAACTTGCCAGGCGAGATGGTTACTACCACAAATCCCGTAGAAATTAAAGCAATGTGCCAGCGCCTATGGTAAGAATAGTACAGCACGTGCTTACGTCTTGTTTTCATAGTTACTTCCTGTTTCCCCGTATTGCAATTATTGTTTTGTAGATATAGTTACTTGCAGTTGAAAAGTGCTTTGAGCACGTGCGATGTCACTTCTCTTTGGTGAACTGTGTTGGCGCTGATTGCGCTTATTTTGTTACTTTGTTATAGTATATCGACTGTGATCGGAAAATTGTGGGATTATGTTGTTACGAATGCACGCATCGCCTTTGAGGTAATGCGTCCTCGAAAACGCCTTTGAGGTAAATAAATGATATGAAATGAAATATGGGAACCCAATTTGTCAATGACATGATTAGAATGGCAGGCATTCCTCTAGCGCGAGCTTGCCACCTTCGATGATGCTTCAGAGTCTCGCGAGCCTCGAGCGCGAACGCGCAGCACGATAGAAGGAGCGTGTGCACGCCCTTCCGTTCTCATTCCGGCACTCACCCAGTTCCGAGAGGCTCCCCACGCAGGTGGTGAGGAAGTTCTGGTCGTGTGACTCGCCCCCGGGATCGTCCTTTGCCTGGCGATGGGACTTGCTCGACGAGGGGCCGCAGGAGCTAGCGCCACACGGGCCGGGCCACTGAGGCATCGACAGCGCACCTGGACACCACACAGGCGCTGTCTTACACCAAATGTTGTGCACATTAGCGGAATACTTCAGCGATGCGTCTTCATAACGGCCTACGCAGACTTTCGCTCAGAAACCGAAAAAGGAATTAAATAATAAAAGAAAACACTTCCTGGGTGGTCTGTCGATTTTAAGACGTCGACCACGAAATAGGAGTTTCCGAATCTGTCCTACCTCGAAATTTGTCTCGCGGCATACATATTTTGCAAAAAAAGCGAAGTTTTCTTTTTTGGGGGAACGTTTATTCTGTGCCGTATACGTCCAATAAAGAATAACCGGTATTTTCATACAGTGACCGACTGTAGGTTTACAAAGTCTCGTCGTGCGGGAAATGTTCTAAGAAAACATTTCATTTTCACATAGAACAAAACAAATTAGTCGCTAGTCGGTTTTAGAGCAGGAGTTTAGTCTGTCAGAACATGGCGATATTGTCACCTACTGTCGATGAGCAATTTAGATAGTGCAGTCCGACTGCTAGTTCAGGGTCTTTAACGTGCACCACGCAGTAGGGATACACGACCGCACGCCGGTACGATGCTCATCCAGATTGAAACGGCCAGGGGTATCCCTGGGTTCCGCAGCGCGAGCTTTCGCTCCACGTGCTCCTAGCTGGTGTGCCCTAGCCCACTCGTCCACCGATCCGTTTTTCTTCTCTATTTAATGCCGGTCTTTGACATAAACATACAAGAGTATAGATCGCTTCCCATGCTCTCCACCCTGTCCCCGCACTCCCCTTTACATTCGCCTGACCCAGCCTTCAATGTTTCCCTCTTCTTGAGCTCCTCCACCTGTCTCTCCAAATCAAGCGCCACCCGCTTCTCCCGCTCCCTCGTCTGCCATGCGCTCCACCTTTCTTTCCCATTCACTGATGAGCTCCTGAAACTCTACCGTGAGTTGCTCCCCTTTAGCTAACACTTCGACCTGATTCTTCAGGACCACCCGTTTCTCTCGCTCTACTTTAAGCTCCTGCTTGACCTCCTCAACCCTAGCTGCGCACTCCCGTTCGACCTAGGGAGCCTCGCCTCAAACCCGTCCTCGCCTCAAACAACAATGAGTTTCTCCTAGAATTGTCATAAATGCATTCTTTGGCAATGACTGTTTTGTTTAATCTATACCTTTCCAGAGCCGTCTTTGTCTGCATTCCCTCTAGCCACCGATCTCTTTCTGTGGCCTTAAGTTTCTTCTTAAGTGAGACTTGCTCTTCCGTATCTTCGCTATAGCCCAAAAACTTTCCTCTTAATTTCCTAGTGCGCTGTCTCCACTTTGTGTCTACACTCCTCATGTGTAAATAGCTGAAAACCTTTCGTGCCCATTGCTCCCCATCCATTTGCCTCGACCGATCCTCCAATTCTATCTTGCTCACAGCTTCTCTGCTCTTAAATGACGCCCATCCCATGTCTCCTTGTACCCTCTGGTTTGGCGTTCTGCAATGTGCCCCCAAAGCCAGCCTACCTACTCCGCGCTGTTTTATTTCTAGTGCTGCATGCACTTCGGATTTCATGCATAGCACTGCGTTTCTAAAAGTCAAGCCCAGGCACCATGACCCCTTTCCAAATCTCTCTCACCACCTCATACCTGTTGTAATTCCAAAGTGCTCTATTTTTCATTACAGCTGCATTTCTGTTGCCCTTAAACATGGTTAAAATCGCGCACAAAGAGACGAGGACAAACGAGGAAGGAACACAGAACACAGACAGGCGTGCACTCACAACTCTAGTATATTAAGTGAAGAAGAGAAAGATGAAGCACTATTTTTTACAGGGGACAACGTCACCAGGGGGAAACAGATCACCCGCAGTCAAATGATCGCAAGAAGGCAACTTCTTTTTCACTCAAAGCAACCGACGGCTGGCTAACGCAGCGATCGCTCGTTAGCCAGCCGTCGGTTGCTTTGAGTGAAAAGAGGAAGGATGTACTACCACATCCGATATCAGGGGTCCAAGACAGGCTGGATGAAGAGAATAAAGACCATAGATTCTAAGTACGGTGGGGGCACAACAAGGCATCTGGCGACGACGGAACGGGAGTGGGCGAGGACAATACGGACAGAGGTGACACGGGCCGGAATAGAGGACTGGAGATGGACAATGCAGAAGAAACAGAGCCTCCAACTGTACAGGAAACACAAGAAGGAACCAGCACCCTATAGGCCCGTAGCTCTCAAGTTTTGAGCAGCGCTCCAGGCGAGCAAAATAGAATATTTGGCTCGCGTTTCGAACGTGCGTCAATACGCTTCCCCACTAGAGTTTTTTATACTCTGTTCTATTATAAGTGCCAGCGTAGCAGAGGCTACAAGAGCGAGCTCCGAGCTCTTAGTGACCCTGCCAAGCACGCGCGCTCGTGTAGTGCGAGCATCGTTCAGGGGAACATGCTTTAGCAAGTATAGCTTCGGCTTCGCTATCACGTAAAGTGAAACATAGGGGCTCACGGAAGCTATGAAAAAGAGCCATAAGCTTGAAGGAATATTTAATCAGACGCTGAGGCAGCGAGCTGCATAATTCTTTTTCTATTTTAGTTCTTTTTTAGACGTTTGGTTATCGCGCGTCTACAGATGCTGACAGATGCTTGCATTCGAACATGGCAGGTGCAAAATCGAACATTACAGCGCCGCCTAAATGGCGCTGCCAGCATAACATGGTCGCGTCTTGCGGACACGCTCGCGCCCCCTGCCCGAGAGCAACGGGTCTATCCACACTACCGGGGAGACCGAGCCAGCGCGCTGCTGTTCCAGGCTCGAACGGGCTCCCTACTGACCCAGAGACGCAGATTTGAGCTCTATGGAGAGGACCCAAACTGTGGGCTCTGTGGCGGCGACGAGGGGACTGTCGAACACATCTTGGGACAATGCAGTGGCATCGACCAGAAAGGGCAAAACGCGTTGCAGTGCGGTGTAGAAAAGGCCCTTGGCTACGGAGAAGAGGCCGAGGAGGGCAGCGGTGACGACGGTGACCGTAAAAACCGCACGCATTCGACGGACGCAACAAAACGCCGTCTGGTGGCGTGGGAGCGACTTTGTCGCACCGCGAAACTCCTGCCTAGGGCGGAACGCCTGAACAACCTCAACAGTGCACATCAGAAGTGACTATTTTTATTTTATTTATGGTACCAGAGGCACTCCTTCTAGGAGCGCCCGCCCTGTTTCAAAAGGGTTTTGGTCCATCTATTCGACGGACGCAACAAAACGCCGTCTGGTGGCGTGGGAGCGACTTTGTCGCACCGCGAAACTCCTGCCTAGAGCGGAACGCCTGAACAACCTCAACAGTGCACATCAGAAGTGACTCTTTTTATTTTATTTATGGTACCAGAGGCACTCCTTCTAGGAGCGCCCGCCCTGTTTCAAAAGGGTTTTGGTCCATCTGACTAACTGACTAACTAACTAAGCCACGTATCTGGTTGCCGCCGTCGCTCATAGATGGCGGCAGCCTTTCCACTCTGGCTTGCCGACTTGCGACCGGCCATTACTTTCCACTGTACAGCTCCGCTGGTCTTCCTTCTTCACCAGAGTGTTTATTTAAATCTTTTATTATGTCCAAGGCTAACACGCAGGTTACAATAATTATAATTCAAGTGACTAATACTAAATTTATGACTTGGGTAAACCTAGAACTACAAACTAAAACAGGGGGCTGTGTTCAGTTGTGTAGGAAGATGACGTACAAGTGAAAAGAAAAATTGTCCCCAAGTATACACCATTCTGATGTTTACAAGTCCACAGTCCAGCGTGGGATCTCCATAGTTCAGCACGCACATGTTTGTCGCTTCGGAAAGCGAGCAAATCACGCGTCATACGGACGAACGCTGAAAATGCCACCGGCCTGAAGCTGTTTCCTGGGAAGGTTTATGTATTCGCTGGCGGCCACAGCTGAGTGCGCGGCTGCTGAGCGCGGGCTGACGGCGAGCTTTCACATTTCCTTTGCAACGTGCATTCCACACCATCAAGATTACAGTCTTAGCAGCCTATTAATGTGAGCTCATTCTGAGCATGAACTCTGAAAAGCGCCTTCAAATATGGCGTCCAGTCGTGTTTCGTATGCTACGTTGCCAAATTCGGCACGCACTAGAACGTGCACGTACCAAGGAGAACGTACACTCGTATACGCAGCACACGCGCTGCACGCACTGGCCTTGTCTGTATCCCCAGTAGTAACCCGCAAGAACCCTCGTGGACGAACCAAAGAATCGCTGATTTCTTCCTCTTCCTTAAAAGCTCGGATGAGCAGAAACTCGGCGAGCAGCTTCCATGAGCCAGCACAGCCGAGAGCCCGAACGACAGCCTGTGTGACGAATGTTGAAGAAAGCGGTCCTGGACGCCTTGCCGCCCCCCACGGACACGAGCCACGAAACCGCCTTCGCCGACTACGAATCGGTGCCCCAGGCGATTGCGGAGGATATCGACGAAAGCAATACGAGATTCGAATCCAAGTACATATCGCCCTGGTCCTCCCAACCGCGCCGCCAAGGGACGCATGGCACAACTGGTGGCCCACATCAGCAGCCACCGCAGTCACGCCAACATCAATTTCTTCCACAAGCTCCCAAACCGATCGTAGTAAGCTCGATTGGAGGCAACGATGGCCGCTACCTCTGGCTCTTCAGGGATGACCAAGGACTTGTCCACGGACCCTACCCCGAAGACAAGATGGCCTCCTGGTTTGAATCCGGGGACCTGAAGATGTCCCTCAGCGTTAGACGAACTTGCGACCAGGAGTTTCAGATGCTCGGACAAGTAATAAAAAACTGGGGCCGCTTTCCCTTCAAGAGCCAGGGACAAGCCACCAGCAGCGGGGATGTGGTGGACAACTGGTTGGTCCAAAAGCCATTCAAGAACCAGAGAAAGCAACCGCGGCTTCCCCCCGGCCGCCCAATCACAGCTTCCCAAGTCCCGGGCCGTCGCCCCGTACTACCCTGCTCTCCAGAATGCGAAGCCCCCTTCAAAGCCGTGTTGAAGCCGCTGCCACCGCCAAAAGAACGA